CACTAAGTGATATCTGGCAGTGACTCTTCCCATGTACATTAGCATTAAAATCCAATCCTAAAGACCTTTAGGTGTTCACAGCCTGAGGGCTATACATGGTCAAGGAAGGCTATGATACAGCCCAACACAGAATTGCAAACTTTTAAACCATCATGAGATGAGAGTGGGGTAATTACGTAGTTCTCAACATGGACTTTGTAGGTGATAATATTGTTTCAAAATATGAAAAGGTTAGACGTGTAGTAACATATTTAAAAAACCCTGTTACAAAGTAGTAGCTTTAACTATGTGTAATATTTCCATGGTATAACATTCTAAACTAGAATATTGATAAAATATGTGCCATTAATATGCTAGCCACATCCTCTGCAGAGATCAAATGCTTCACTGCATAGTGTGACTCTGAGTATCTAGTTTTGTGTTTCAGTGTGTCATTATTTTATCACTTTGCCTGTTTTCAGGTGATCTTAAAGCTAATGCCATTTATGCCTTGAAAATTTTTTGCTGTGCTGATTTTTGTGTCAGGGTCTCCTTATCTAATGCAGATTGGCCTTGAACTTAGCCCTCCTACCATGGCCTCCCACATTCTGGGGTTCTGGGCATGCTTCACCACACCCCACTCTGAGTGGTTTTTAAAGGAAGTATGGTTTTTTTTTCTTCCACAAAGTAATTACTGGTGTTTACTAATTATTCAGAGTAAAAAGGTAGGACACAAAAGTACCACCAGTACTCCTGTGTTAAATAAGATAGCCTGCACTCTTAGTGGAAGTGGGTTAATTGATCTGTAATCCAGTCTCCTACTTATGTGTCCCTCCACCACCATATGAACTCACTGTGTATCCAGAGAAGGGCTGTGGTGAGAGATTTGAGGTACAGACACTGGGGTACCATTTCTGTTGCACACAAACACACTTCAGTTTTAAATGCTGGTGTCTATTGTAGGACATAGAAGCTGCAGAGAAGTCTTTACAGGCCAGGCTTAAGCCACGCCCACAACCTGCAGTGTGTTCCCTTGAGGTAAGACCCTGAGTTAACTGTAACAAAAGTGACAACTGTAAGTTCCCTGCAAGTTAAACAAGGCCTACACAGCTGTATTGCCTAGGTTTACTTTGTCAGTAAAATAAGCAAGAAGGGTTAATATTTTTATGTTCACAGTACAATGTTTTATATACAGCTGGTAATTAATGCATATCTTGATGAAAATAATTTAATCTACACCCAGTTTTGTGTGTATGTGATGCAGTACATGTACATATGCAAGTGCACATGCATGCATACATGTTGTGGTACATAGGTGGAGATCAGAAGACTACCTTCAAGAGCCGTTTGTCTCCACCATGTGGATTCTGGGGATCAAACTCAGGTCATCAGGCTCAGTGGTATGTGTATTAACTCACTAAGCCATCTAGTTCTCTAATGGAATAATGTTTTTAATACTTGAAATATTCATTCATGTACACAGATCTATCTCTATCCCCTTACCTATCCCCCCCCATACACACACTTTTTAAAACAATTAAGTCCAGTTAGAGCTGCCCTTGTGTGCATGGATGTAAGGAATTCCCTGGAGCCTCCCTCCCCCAGCAACTGTCCACTACCAATAGCTCTTCAGTATGCCAGGGGGCCAGGAGATCATCTACCTCATGTGTGCCAAGATTTTGGCTGGCTTGATCTTGTGCAGGTAAGCACAGCAGCTATGAGTTCATGACTAGGACAGTCATGTCACGTCCACAGGACAGCATTTCACAACACTCATTGCCATCCCCAGACTTCTACGTTCTTTCTGCCTCCTTTTCTAATGGAATTGCCCTGCAGACTTAGTGTCACTACTAGAAGGCTTGAGTTTTTAAATACAAATTGGATAGCTTCCTATGAGTTATTGGTCAAGAAGCCTGTAAGGTCTCCAAGACAACAAAGCCTATTGCTATTGCCATCATACTTGGTTACCTGCCATAAATGCATGGGAAAACTCTACTGCTGAAGCCACCATACACTTGGCTTCCAGATAAAGAGAAGTGAATTTCAAACCACAGGAAACTTCCTGTGTCAGAAGGTGCTATGCAGGCTGCTGGGAGAGAAAAGACATCAATGGTCTTACCAAATGTTGAACCTTACATGCATTAATACCAGTCGGCCAGGCAAGATGTGCCTACTGCTATAATAGTGTCATAACTGTTATGGGGTGGGTAACTACTTTCTGATAGGATCTGAGACCACCTGCTCCACAGGATGGAATTTCTTGCCTAATACTGAAATCCTAGTCAAAAGTCCATGACTATGGAGGTCGTAGGCCCTAGAGCATTGTTATTTTACCAAATGGGCATGCTGTCAAATTGCCTTCCACATAGTTATGCATGTGCCCATAGACCTTGGCTGCTGTCAACCTTGGTCAGAGAAACTTCTTTCTGCAGTGGGCAGCAGTCTGTGCAAGTGCAGAACTGGTCAGAGTGCTGAGAATGAGACTAGGTGCTCATCCCTAACCGGGACATCAGTGTTAACCAGGGCTCAGGCAACAGAATGGAGATCGTACACAACGTCTTGTCTTCTCCCTCCTGTCACATTGAAGCAATGTCCTGTTGAATATGCTGTGACTCCTGAGTGACAGCATGCCCAACCAAGGAGTGCTTGTTGGAAATATAAGGAGTCCCTTGACTATAACAAGAATCTTAAAAGATCTTATTCATAAAAACAAACCTGGAGCCAGGTATTGCGGTGAACAATGAAAGATCAGAGAAACCGAACCAGCCACAGCTAACCTCACCTTGCCGATTCCTCAGCTGATCTCATTTCCTTAAACTAGAAGCCTCTGTGTCCTCATCCAGATGGATCTCAGCTGAACTGCTGCTCAAAAACCTAAAAGCTTAACCAGACCTAGTTCCTGGTTTTCACACCTTATATACCTTTCTGCTTCCTGCCATCACTTTCTGGGATTAAAGGTGTGTGTCATCATGCCTGGCTGTTTCCAGTGTGGCCTTGAACTCACAGAGTTCCAGATGGATCCCTGCCTTTGGAATGCTAGGATTAAAGGCGTGTGTGCCACCATTTTCTGGCCTCTCTATCTAGTGGCTGTTCTGTTCTCTGATCCCAGATAAGTTTATTAAGTGTTACAATATATTGGGGAACACAATATCACCATACTTGACTCAGATGTGGCCAAAGCCTTTCAGATTCATATTATCAGTACACCCAGTGGAAGGCTGAGGCAGGAGACTGTTGAGTCTACATAGTGAGAGAAGATTAAAAAGAAAGAGGAAATAAATGTCTATCACCATGCTTACCACACAATGCAAACAGTTTTATTAGCTCAGTTTTCAGAAGCAGACTGGGGAGATGGTTGGCAAAAGGGAGCCACACTTAGTCTGTGGATGTTTGTGCTGGGTGGGAATTCACTACATATAGAATAGTTTCATTTTCTACTTCTAATGAGCTTTCTCAGATGTCATTTTCCTTTTTGCCCAACTGGGGATAAGAATAGACTCAAAAGTAGAGGCTGAGAATCTGCCCCTCAATTTTCTGTGTCATTTAGGGTAACAGGAAAAAGCAGTGATCGAGTGCAGAAAAAACTGGCACAAAGTTGTGCATTGGGTATGCCCTCCTTTGTTGAATTCACCAATGCCTTATTTGAGCACATACAGGGCCCACACAATAGTGGTTAATTCAGCCGTGAATGGCACAGAAGCCCCCAGTCTCTGGCCTTGGATGGTGTTCGGAGCTATACTGGCACAGCAGGGTAACCTTTATCTTACGTATGTCAGGCTGTTTCTCAGACCACATGCACAGATGTACAGATATTTCGAGTCTCTCACATCATCTTCAAACAGTAGAACCATTGTATGTGTTCCTAGTGCTATCTGACTCGGTGCAGAATTACCCCAGAAACTGATGGTGTTGATCCAATAGAAAATGCCATCCATCCTCTGATGCAAACTTTGGCCTCCTTGGCAGTCACTCCAAGCTCATCAAAGCTCCTCCACCATGTAGCAGTACTACTTGGATTTCTATAGCCTGTAGATCACAACTGTCAGACATATACAGCATCTCAACTTGCAAGTTATTGCCATCAAAATGGGTCCACTTCGTTAGTTATTTTATCATAAAAGTCTGAAGAGCTGGAGAAATGGCTTAGCAGGTAGGAGCACGTGCTGCATAAGCATGAGGACCTGAGTTTGGATCCCAGCACCCACCTAAAAAGGAGGTGTGGCCCTGCATGCCTGAAACCCCAGCACTGTGGGAATGAGATACAGGAGGATCACCACTGGGTTTGCTGGCTGCCAGACTCAGTCCAGGATCAGAGAGGCACTGTCTCAAAGGAATAAGACAGAGAGTGATAGAGGGGGGTTCCCAATATCCTTGTTTCCATGGGCATGTGTGCACACTCGTGTGCACATACACCACATTTGTACACAGACACAAATTTAAGAAAAATGAAAATGTGTCACGTCAAATATTCTTTTAAAAGATGTGTGGATACGTAACATCCATGCACCTGAGGAGCTGACTTACAAGCTCTCTATATTTTAGCTACATTCCTGTTCTTGGGTGAGGCCAGGTCATATCATCTCCTGTTAATTCCAAGGAACTTGTTCATGTATAATCTTTTATGGTCCTTTTCATATGGACAATCCAGGTTTGGAATCTAGAATAGTAAACAAAATATTTAATAACAGGTACCATAAATGACATTACTGTTAATAATCACAAAACTGGCCACAAGAGGGCGTGTAAAATCACAATAAAATTGAAAACCTTAATTCTGCCAGGCTCTGGTTTGCTGAAAAATTTGAAAATTAACACTAGTAAGTAGCCAGGTTTTTTTTTTTCCTAAAATTAACATAAAATGTTCCGTAGAGGAAATGTACTCTACATATATGTATGTGAGAGTGTGTACATGTGTGCACACACACACACTTAAGATAATAAAATATTTAGATTATTATGAAGAGCTGAGTTGAACTTCTTGCTATGCTATCTTACTTCGTTTTTGTTTTTTGTTTTTCCAGACTCGTTACTGGGCATCAGTAGAAGAACATGTCCCCAAATGGGAACAGTTCCTTTTAGGCAGAGCACCATATCCGATTGGTGGCGAAAATGAAAATGAGGCAGGAAACACCGTTCAAAATGAGATGAAGTGATAACTCGTTCATATGTTACTCAGAAAACAAAAACAAAATCCAAAAACAATTGTTTGATAAAACTCTGTAAGTCGTGGCAGGAACTTGAGGGAGTAATGTGCTTTGTTTGTCTCATTATTGTCAGTCTGAGAGCCACTGACAGGTCTCAGGTTAGACCACTGCAGGGTCGGTCTGAGAGCCACTGACAGGTCTCAGGTTAGACCACTGCAAGGTCGGTCTGAGAGCCACTGACAGGTCTCGGGTTAGACTACTGCAAGGTCGTAGATTTGCAATGAAAGGGTTAAAAGCTAATGCTAAGACAGAATGTTTGTTAAAGATGGTATTAAAGCAGTGCTGTGTGTGTTAAACATTCAGCCTCATTACACCCTGTCTAGTCTTCCATTATTCACCATGAGAACAGGAACAGAGGCTTGCTTAGCCGCCCTTGTCGAACACTAGTTAGGGGAAAGTGGATCCCCAGGACTGGGTGCCTCAGACAGGCTTCGCTGAGATTCTGACTAAAGGACTCAGTATGTAGCCAGTTTCAGGAAGGCTTGGTATGGTTTTGAAAAAGACCCATGAGAGCTGGAAGTAGCTACTGCATTCTGACTGACTTGAAGACTCCCAACCTTGTGAAAACAGCCTCGCCCTCGGTGTTATCTTCCCACTTGCCCTCCCCTCTCCTCTCCTCTCTAAAACTTTAAAGAAATATACTCAGGAAGCTGTGAGTCCCAGCCCTCAACACAACCGCTCCTCAGTTCACCACCGCTGGATGAGCACTGGAAGGAAAAACAAAGCCGGTATTTTAACTGTGGAGGCAGCTTCTGGAGGTGGTCTGCACTGCATTGCAGTGAACTGTTCTGAATTGCAAACTCATGGTTTTGTCTCAGTGTGTAAAAGATTCTTCTTTCTGGTATTTTGTGTTGTCTTTAAGACCAAGTTTCACTTTATAGCCCAAGCTGGTCTCAAAGTCACAGCAATCCTCCTGCTTCAGCTTCTGAGCACTGGGATTACAGGTATGAGCACCTACACGCAGGTCATTTGTAGTTTTAAAAACTCACATAAGCCTCACTACAACAAAAAAACTAGTAACACGTCCAGTGTGCAACACGTCCCCGTTCACTGCCATCTTGGAAATGTCCTGGTGAGTGGGTGTTGGTGTGGGTAACAATAACATTGTTTTCATAATATGCGCTGGCAGATTAGCACACTTCTCCGCAGTGTTAACAGTTGTAATTAAGGAATAAGCAGCACAGGGTGTCAGTCCGATGACAATTTCATCTATAGTGTCACAATACAAAATGTCACAAAATATTAGAACTGTTACAGAGCTATAAAAAGTACCAGCTGAGAGCTGAAGGCATCTTTAAGAGAAGAGACAGAGAAGGAGGAAATGGGAAGGCTGACTTAGCGGCCAGACAATTTTATACATTCTCAAGACTGTCATGAAAACAAATTGATAATTTTTTCTGTTACATTGCAGTTTGGGCTCCAGCCATCCAGTTGATTTAGCAGGAAAATGCAGGTTTCTTAGCAGCTCCAAATTGGTAAACAGATTTAGATGTAGGACGGAACATGAGGAAGGTTTTTTTTTTTAACATCCAGTCTCCCAGCATATGCACATAAGAAGGTGAACGAAGCAACGTGAAACTTATTTCTCTTTAGTCAAGTAAAAAAAGGCTAAACATTTGTTAGCTAGTAAAATATTGTGTCAAGTAAGTAGGAACATTCCAAAATTAAACAGTGGTTGATATGTTACCGTCCTCAAATATTTGAGCGTACACTTCCTTTGAGATCTGTAAATTAAATCACCAGTAGGTTGAATTAAAATACAAAATGAGTGGCAGCATAGCCCTCTCAGAAGACTGTTTTGTTTCTCCCTACTTTGACTGACTGGCTAGTTTGGTTTGGGTATTTTTTAAAGATAATCTAATAAACCTCACACAGTTTAGGGCGAAGAGAGGAGTTCTAAAGCTGCAGCCGAACCATTTCCCCGTTTTGGTTAATACTTCCCGAATTCCCACAGAGGACTTTGTCCTTGGCCCTTGCAGAGCCACCCACCCCACCCTGCCTTGGAGGCTGTAGCAGATTGTAGCACATGGTGTCTGTTAAAAAATAAAAATCCCATGGACTCTGGATATCCCATTCAAGGGCTTTATATTTCTAATGGCAAATTAGCTTAACACAGGAGTTTCCCAACATCACTTAATGGGAGGAGGGAAGAGATGCTACATACGAAGTTTCTTCTTCTACAACTAGGAACTGTTATAAGGAAAGAGGAGACATCTACTCATACCTTCCTCCTACAGAACAATGGTTTTTAGATTATTATTATTTTTTTAGTTAAGTGGGGGGGGGGGCATTGTGCAGGTGCCAAGTAGGTCAGATTGGACTCCTTACCCCTTGGAGCTAGAGTTACAAGCAGTTGTGAACTGCCCCTTGTGGGTGCCAGGAATAGAACTCTGGCCCTTTGCAAAAGCAGTAGGCCCCTGAACTGCTAAGCCATGTCTCAACCAACCAAATCAATATCCCAATCAGAACAGAATTCTCCATGAACATAACAGAATGAATTGGGTTTTTTGTTGTTGGTTTTTGTTTGTTTGTTTTTAGAATAATAGTGTTTGAAGGGAAACTGTTGGTTTATTTATTTTTTTCTTTTAAAGATCAAAGATTTTCCCCCCAAAGTCTTTCTAGGCTTGTTTGAAGCATAAATATTCAAAGCTCACTTTCTGCTGGAACATTTCTGGTTATGAAATTGTCAAACTATAAAATGCTAAAATCAGAAGGAACTGTAGTTTTTCCTCATACTTAAAAAATGGGGTTGGAGAGATGGCTCAGCAGTTAAGAGCACTTGTTGCTCTTGCAGAGGAGCTGTATTTGGTTCCCAGCACCTACATAGTGGCTCACTAGTATCCATGACTCCAGGTTCAGAGAACCCCATGCCCTCTTCTGACCTCCATAGGCTCCAGCCATGAACGTGGTGCACATACACATGTGTAGGCAAAACACCCATACATAAAATAAATCTGAAAGGAAACTCATGAATTATAGATACTAAGGAAAAAGCCTTCTGCTCTGGAGCTAGACATGGGGTCCTCTCTAAAGAGAGCCGTGGATGGAGGCAGAGTCTTGGGGAAACAGGTATGCCTCTGCTGTGGACAGGGGTGCCTTAACTTCTCAGCTTATGGAGAAGCTTGACTTTGTTTCCAATCTTGGCCTCTGCCTCATTCTTCTGACCCATTAGAATAAATAAAGTGAGCATGGGGGCATATTTATGTTTGAAAAAATTTCAACTTCTATTTTATCACTTATCGTGTGACTGGAGCTGTGTGTGTATAAAGTTACCAACTTGAGAAGTAAGGACAGACTTGAAAATCTGTGTGACACACATTCCGATACATAAAACTTAACATAGAAGACCATGAAGCTGGCTCCTTTACAAAACGGATTCTTCACTTTCCTTCCCTGCTATATTAATTTACTCCAAGCCGATTCATAGCATTTTGTCTATTTAAAGAAGTCTTTTACTTAAAACCAAGTTTTCAGCTCACCCTGCCGATTTCTCCTACTTTTCAAGAATTGCTCAAAGTGTATTGTACTTCTCCTTCAATTGTGGTACTGAGATAGCTTTAAGAGTTGCAGACCAAATCTACCCTTCCGAGTGGATAATAACCAGGGGATCAGTGCCAACAAGAATTGAAGAGACCAGGGAAACAGGAGAGGAGAGATGCTTTTTGAGAAAGCTTTAGGCTGGAAGGAGAGGGCTCCACCCTACCTCTCTGTGTGGTGTTTGTTTCCCTTATAGGTTAGAAGTTAATTTGTCTGCATAGGAAATCTAATTCCTCGTTGCTAATAAAGTTTTTTTTTGAGACATGTGCAGAGGTGTCAACCTTTGGCAATTCCGGAGAGGACTGATGTGGGGATTTGACAGCTGTCTTTGTGAGCGCCCTCTCTAATGGAACTGAGGTTATATCCTTACCAAAATCCAAGACAAGGAAAGCAGCTCCCACGAAGCCAGAGGCCTAGAATATTTCCGGACATCATCTATCCATAGAGTTGAGTTTCCTGCTTCCTCTTAAGTTACAGTGATGAGAGGCTCTTGCAATTCTAGAAACTCAAATTTGTCTATCAGACAAAGGCAGAGATAGAGACTCTGTGAAAGTATTAATAGCATGTAGCTTAACTGCAGTGAGAACTGGTACTGAGAGAAAACCCTAAAATACACTTATCTTAGGAAGCAGCAGCTTATGGCTTCCATCTTCTGAAGACCGATTGTTTAACCTCGACTCACAGGTTCCCCGTGCTCGTCACTGCTCCTCCTTTAATCCTGGGTTTCAGTGTAGGAAATTGTTTGATATTTCACACAACACAACTTTAGGAAAAATACAGCCAAATGGGAAGTTAAAAAAGATTCCATTTATGTCTTTTGTTCAGCATCTCTCTAGTTTATCTTATCCCCCAATACTCTGTAATTATTTTTTATACCTGATTCCAAATACTTAAAAAGTCTGTAACACATTTTGTACTGGACTGCTCTATCACCGGCAAACAATCACAAAAATGCTCAAAAGAAACCAGACCTTGAGCCCTTTGAAATGCTAACTTCATTTGTAACAACCAAATACACATAAGCGAGGTTCATGCCTTCTAGAGTTAAGTACAGGCAGGTATTGTCCAACAAGGTTTCGGTGGATAATGGACCACATCCATGATGGCAGTCCCTTATACATCACATGTTTAATGCTCCTCATTGCCTCATTTGCTCATGGACCAGATTAATCCCATATTCATCATGGCCATAGGCTACCCTACACATGTACCATATAGCCTAGAGGGTAGGAGGCCAAACCATTTAGGTTTATGCAGGCACACTCCATGATCCTCACGCAACTAAAACAGTCTAACACAGCACCATCACCGAGCAACGTGTGACTGTTTAAGCAATCCTGCTTTTAAAAAAGGCTGATACTGCCTAACTGGTGTGTGGTGGCGCACACCTTTAATCCCAGCACTTGGGAGGCAGAGCCAGGTGGATCTCCGTGAATTCGAGGCCAGCCTGGGCTACAGAGTGAGTTCCAGGAAAGGTGCCAAGCTACACAGAGAAACCCTGTCTCCAAAAAAAAAAAAAAAAAAAGCTGATATTGTAAATATGCCTAAAAACTCCTTTAAAATCTCTTTTCCCAAGACTGCCACCAGCACCTCCTTGGTGAGCTGAGTTACAGCCACAGTGTCCAGGATAGCTTTCTATATTGCTGAGGATTCTAAACTCAGCTCTATCCAGTATCCCAGCACCTGCTCATGCATGGATCCTGAGCACTGGAAATAAGTCTCATGCATTTGACTTTCAACTATTACTTTAAGAATTGTTAGTGCAAATTAGGTACTTTTTCAACTAAATCTTAGGAAACTACTACTAATGAAAAGTTGGCTTTTGATGGACATCTGCTACCAGTGTAAGATACATACTGGATTTCAAAAGCTATATAAACATGATAATATACTGGTTAATTTTTTATTGAATGCGTATTGAAATATTTCTAATGGAACAAATTACCAAAATAGTTTTACCTTAAAAACCGTATTATCAAGTATCTACTAGAAAATTCAAATTTTTACCTGTGACTCACATATCTCACTGAACACCATTAAACTAGACATTTCCTAAGTGCTTTTGCAATTCTGAGTCAATGTCTTTGTAGTTACTTAACCACTTTATTATGTAATTATAAAGCCAATAATTGATAAACTTGTGGAGGGAAACTGGATAAATACTTGAGATTTTCAAACTTCACTTCCAAAGAATGGTATTTTATTTTTGTTTGGTTTGATTTTTTGAGAGGAATCTCATGTATTCCATGCTGACTTTCAACTTGCTAGGTAGCCAAGGATGACCTTGAACTTCCTGTTCTTGTCTGTGCATCTCCTGAGTGCTGAGATTACAGGCATGCACCACAACACCCAGTTTATGTGGTGCTAATGATCAAGCCTAGAGCTTTGTGCACCCTAGGCAAGTACTCTACTGAGTGACATCCCCAGCCGGTTAAATAGTAGGTGTTTCTAAGAACTGTGCCTTTAGAGTTACAGTCAGACCTGTGCTCCTTTTTAGAATCTCAAGTCCAAGCTTGATGCCTAGAAGATGTCACGCACTGAATGAATAGTGAGAAGATTTACAATCCAAGCAGTCTCTTATTTTAAGACAGAGTCTTACCATGCAATTTTAGATGTCCCAGAACAAGTGACCATCCTCCTGCTTCTGCCTCTCAAGTGCTAGGAAAACAGGCATGTACTACCATGCCCCTCCTGACATTTGATAAGAACATTCATTAAAGATGACACAGCAGGAGACTATAGCCATATAAAATAATTAGGCCTGTGTCTAATACACACAAGATAAAAAGAAGCTGGGTAGTAAGATCGTAGGTTTGCTTTTTCTCAACCTTGAAAACCTCTCAATGTAATGCTAGTGCTTGCTGGCAGCAAAGCAGCTTCTACAGGAAATGCACACTGTGGGTATTAGATTTTTTGTCATTTTCTGTGATACTAGAGATTAAACCTAGGGTCTCACACATGCTGGGCAAGTGCTCTACTGCTGAGTCCTAGATAAAATTATCATATTATTGATGGCAATATGAAAGCAGTGTGACATTAAGTGACTGTGGAAGTCACACCAATGATTCCCTTCCTATACCTGAGAACTCAGGGTTCTTCGTTTTCCTTATCTCCTGCTCCCACCACCTCACAAACAGGTGCTCCAGAGCAACCAGGGAGAAGCAATTACCACTTAAGACAGGTTGAAAGGGAACACAGCTTTCACAAAGACCTTTACATGAACCAGTGAAAAGAATCAATACCTTCTCTCTTCTCCCCAGCCCATGTGTGTGAATGATGTGTAGATGGTGCATGCATGTAAGTGTATAGGTGTGTAGATGGTGCATGTATGTGAGTGTACAGGTGTGTAGATGGTGCATGCATGTGAGTGTACAGGTGTGTAGATGGTGCATACATGTGAGTGCACAAGTGTGTAGATGGTACATGCATATGAGTGTACAGGTGTCAGGAAGTCAGCATCTTCCTCTGTCACTGCCTTCCTGCCTTGAGATGGGGTCTCTCACTGAATCAGAGATCTGCTGTTTTGGTAGGCTACCTGGGTCCACCTCTTTGACTAGCCCCACTGCTGAGATCATGGTCATGCATAGCCATGTATAGCTTTCATATGAGTGCTGGGGGTTCAAACTCAGGCCCTCATGCTCACAAGTGCTTTTATCCACTGAGTCATCTCCCCAACCCTAGCTGTTGTTTTTGATTTTGTTGTTGTTGTTGTTTTTGTTTTGTTTTTCTCCCTTTAACAAACATACCAAGTCCTTAGAGTGCCCTGACAAAAGGCAGCTACTGTCAATGTGATGTCATGAAAAATGGTTCAAAATTTTTACATTAATGGGGGTAAATGATTACTCATCTAATAGACCTTATGTGCTTCTTTACCTGTTTGTCAAAATCTGAAATTCTTTGTACCATGTCCTTTAAAATAACTGAAAATTCAATTAAACAAATAATGAATATTTAGATCCAGAATGAACTAGCACTATAAATGGAGATAAACAATATACTTGCTTCACATGAGCAGAGTCATCTACATACACAAATAAAACATACTATCTCTGTGAGTTCGAGGCCAGCCTGGGCTACCAAGTGAGTTCCAGGAAAGGCACAAAGCTACACAGAGAAACCCTGTCTCGAAAAACCAAAAAAAAAAAAAAAAAAAAAAAAAAAAATACTATCAAAACAACCAACCCCCCAAAATTAGAATAAAAAAGCCAGGCATGATAGTGCACACCTTAATCCTAGCAGGAAGAGGATGAGGCAGGAAGATCAGAAATTTAAGCCTAGCCTGAGCTACATAGTAAGACTGTCTGGCATGCCTATTTGGAAGGTAGGCAGGCAGGCAGGCCAGCAAGAGTTCCAACTCAGCCTGGAAAACAGGTATGAGTGGGTTGGGGAAGAAGGAAGCTGGGAAAGAAAAGAGGAAAACCCTGCATGAAACATTCATGAAGAGTGAAAAGTGGCCGAGAGACTTCCCGTTTCAAAGTGGCCGGTAGTGACACTGACATCCTCCTCTGACCCTGACTTTAACAAATGGGGACTCTACTTCTTCCTCTTTCTATCTCCGCTGACAGGCTCCAATGGAGGCCACCAAAATGTGGTCTTCCTCACTAGTGTCCATCCTAATCACTCCTTTTTCTCCGTTCCTCGGCAGCATCTCCAGAGCCACTCCTCCTTGTTGAGATGTCTCTTCATGGACTTCTGGAACCTGGACATTTCCTCAGCCTAACGCCTCCTAAATGTCCCAGCACATCACAGCTCAGCTTTTGACGCTACTCCTTTCTACCCGATGTTTTTAGTAATGGCATCTAGTCATAGTTTTCATCTAGTTGTGGAGGGGAACGCCTCCCCAGAATATCTGCCTTCTCATTTTCCCCATGAGCTCAGTGTCTACTTAACTCATAGCAACCTAGTAAACGTCTCAAGTTAACACCGCCAAGCTGGAGCTCAAGTCATGTCCCCTTAGTCTCTATCAACTGAAGTAGGCACCCTGAATCACCCCCCACCCCGTGGTTTCCCACCACTCTGCACCTTGACCTCTGAGCTCTAGCCACAGCTGCCTTCTTCCCATGCCTCCCTCCTTATCTTGGCAGCATTGTGAGTGCTAATTCTGCTGCACAGCAGGCCCTGCTCTTCCGCTTTATGCCGGCCTCCCCTCAGGTCTCCAGTTAGTGCAGGTCTTCTTTGATGGCCTCCTCTGAAGCACCCCAACCTTCTACCCTAGAATGCTGTCACCTTCCCTGCAGTGTGTTCACACTGCATGGCACTCTAGTGTGTGCCCATTTACACTACATCATCTGTTTCTCCTTCTGAATCTCAAGCTCCGCGATCGGGAAGACTCCATTGTGTTACCGCTGTACCGGCCCCTCCACTGTCTAGCATACTAAAGGTCCTCACTAACTATATTTTAGATAGATTACACAGGAAAAAAACTGAAGAGAAATATTAGAGAGCCAAAAGGAGTGAGAACCAAGAAGTTACAGCAATGGTCCAGCCCAAGCAAGAAGCGGGTGAGCTGGACCCCAACAAAGAACAGCAGAAGCTGAGGATCTGGATCCGCCAGTAAAGGGCCTGCTGTATGGCCGCTGAGGACCTGGATCCACTAGTAAAGGGCCTGCTGTATGGCCGCTGAGGACCTGGATCCGCCAGTAAAGGGCCTGCTGTATGGCCGCTGAGGACCTGGATCCGCCAGTAAAGGGCCTGCTGTATGGCCGCTGAGGACCTGGATCCGCCAGTAAAGGGCCTGCTGTATGGCCGCTGAGGACCTGGATCCGCCAGTAAAGGACCTGCTGTATGGCCGCTGAGGACCTGGATCCGCCAGTAAAGGGCCTGCTGTATGGCCGCTGAGGATCTGGATCTGCCAGTAAAGGGCCTGCTGTATGGCCGCTGAGGACCTGGATCCACTAGTAAAGGGCCTGCTCTAGGCCGCTGAGGATCTGAGTTTGATTCCCACCACATAAATCAAAATTCAGGTGTGGTGGGGTTTGCTTGTAAATCAGAGCACTGGTGAGGGACAGGTAGATCTACTTGGAGCTACTCAGCCTAGCCTACTTGGTGAGTTCAAAGCCAGCGAGAGCTCGCATCTGAAAAGACAAGGAGGAAAACTCCTGAAGAATGACACCAGGATTGTCCTCTGGCCTGCACGTGCACACGCATATGGTTATGTGTACCGATCCACACAAAAACACACAGAAGATGCCCCAGCAGCCAAACAAGGTGAGAAAGGGTGCTGAATCTTGGAAACATCCTGGAAAGTGGAAATGAGCTCCAGATATCATTTTCCCCATCACATTAAGAAAAATGAACAAAGTGTAGCATCAAGCATTGCTAAGTAGATGGGGAAATGGCCTTTCATATGCTCCTGGGACGAGTACAGGTAGGTACCGCCCCTTTGAAGGATAACTGTGTAGCACAGTAGTTCCCAGACACCTGTAGTTCTATTTTCCATAATTTCACTGGACAACAGTCAAGAGCTATTACATGAAAAGCTCTAGAACATTTGTTCTTAACCTGTGGGTCATGACCCACCTGGGGCTGAACAACCCTTCCACAGGGGTCACCTAAGACCATTAAAAAACACAGATGTTTACATTATGATTCATAGCAGTAGCAAAATTACAGTTATGAAGTAGCAATGAAAATAATTTTATGGTTGGGGGTCAGGTCACAGCATTAGGAAAGTTGAGAACCACTACCCTAGAAACAAACAATTTATAGTTTTAATGATTTGCTATTTTGAAGAGAATATTGAAATCTCATATCACCTCATTTCATTCTACCTGAGATGTCAATCATCCCCATGTCCAGAATATCCACAATGGTATGTACTATGTAGGAACCTGTTTGGTTGTGAGATGACTGACATGTCATTGCAGTGTGATATGCAGGTGTTCCTTACAGCATAGCCAAACATGGTCAGCATGCCCACACCATTTACAGACATAGTCAGCATGCCCACGCCATTTACAGACACGGTCAGCATGTCCACGCCATTTACAGACATGGTCAGCATGCCCATGCCATTTACAGATATGGTCAGCATGCCCACGCCATTTACAGACATGGTCAGCATGCCCACACCATATGCAGACATAGCATGCCCACGCCATTTACAGATATGGTCAGCATGCCCACACCATTTACAGACATAGTCAGCATGCCCACGCCATTTACAGACACGGTCAGCATGCCCACGCCATTTACAGACACGGTCAGCATGCCCACGCCATTTACAGACACGGTCAGCATGCCCACGCCATTTACAGACACGGTCAGCATGCCCACGCCATTTACAGACATGGTCAGCATGCCCACGCCATTTACAGACATGGTCAGCATGCCCACGCCATTTACAGATATGGTCAGCGTGCCCACGCCATTTACAGACATGGTCAGCGTGCCCACACCATATACAGACATAGCATGCCCATGCCATTTACAGATATGGTCAGCATGCCCACACCATTTACAGACATGGTCAGCATGCCCACACCATTTACAGACATAGCATGCCCACGCCATTTACAGACATGGTCAGCATGCCCACACCATTTACAGACATAGCATGCCCACGCCATTTACAGACATGGTCAGCATGCCCACACCATTTACAGACATAGCATGCCCACGCCATTTACAGATATGGTCAGCATGCCCACACCATTTACAGATATGGTCAGCATGCCCACACCATTTACAGACATGGTCAGCATGCCACACCATTTACCTCATGGTACCTCATGTGTGAAGTATAACATCTCACTTCATCACAAGGTGGAATACGGTACAAACAGACATTTCACAACCTTTATTATATCCTATTATGGCTTACTTTGTTATTACATTTTGTCAGCCTCCTTTTGTCTAATTTATGAATTAAACTTTATTATAGGTAATGAATATATGAGAAGAAGCAATATATATGTTGGTGGCTTAGAGTATAGTGGAGGAATGTAACTTATGGAGGTCAAAGAAGGTTTTGCTAAGAAAGAAGATTGAAATCTGGAGGTAGTGGCTCATGCCTGCACTCCTTACCATTGGGAAGCTGAGGCAGAAGGATAACCCTGAGGTCCAGGTCAGCCTGGGTACGATGCGAAATCCTAGCCCAAAAGAAAAAAACGTTAAGAAAGAAGAGATTGAATTTAAAAGAAGAAAAGGAAAAACCAGGAGAGTTGGCAGTGGAGGAGGAAATTATTTTTGGCAAATGGAGCAGCAAATACAAAAAGCTTGTGCCTAGAAAGGAGCAACTCCAAGTTTTCTTTTTTTTTCTTTTTTTCCAGAGCTTGCATGCCTTTTATTCCCACCGCTGGAAACTCTAATGCTCAGCAGAATCAGTTTTTAAAACTTAGATTTCTCCCCTTTATTGAAAATAGATTCTTTTCTCATACAATATATATCCTGATTAATTTCCCCTTCCTCTACTCCTCCCAGTTCCCCCTCCTCTCTGGATCCACTCCCTTTCTTTCTTTCTTTTTCTTTCTTTCTTTCTTTCTTTCTTTCTTTCTTTCTTTCTTTCTTTCTTTCTTTCTTTCTTTCTTTCTTTCTTTCTTTCTTTCTTTCTTTCTTTCTTTCGAAAAGAACAGGCTTCTAAGAGAGAACAGCCAAGCATGACAAAATAAAATATAAGATAAAACAAAAACCATCATGTAGAAGTTGGACATGGAAAAATCAACAAAAATGAAAGGAGTCCAAGAAAAGGCACAAGAATCAGAGACTCACTTGTTCTCACACTCCTCAGCGTTATTCAAGTGCTCAGCTGAAAGCTGTAATGTATAGGCACAGGACCTGATGCACTCCACGTCAGCCCTGTGCTTCTGCCTCAGTGTCTGTGGCTTCATATTAGCTTTGCTCAGGTGACTTGGAGAGACTTGGTCTCCAGTGTCCTCCCTCCAGTCTGGCTCTCACACTCTTTCCACCTCCTCTTCTGCAGGGTTCTCTGAGCTTGGCGGGGAGGGAGTTGATGAAGACATCCCATTTAGAACTATGTATTCTAAGGTCCCCTCCCACTGTGTGTGTGTGTGTGTGTGTGTGTGTGTGTGTGTGTGTGTGTGTGTGTGTGTGTGATGTCTGACTTGTGGGTCTCTGTATTTGTTCCATCTGCTGAAAGAGGAAGCTTCTCTGATAATGACTGAATAAAGCACTCATCTAAGAGTACAGCATAGCATAATATCATTGTCATTTTAACATTACTCTTTTTTTCCTTTTTAGACTAGTAGTATGTGGTTTTGCCCTAGTCTCTGGGCTATCTAGTCTCTGACTCTCTTGTGGAATGGGCCTTAAGTCAAACAGACATTGGTTGGTTACTCTCACAAGCTTTGTGCCACCATAGCCCTAGCAGATTTTGCAGACAGGACAGCATTGTAATCAAACGGTTTGTGTCTGGGTTGGTGTTTACATTTCTTTTTCGGTAGCCTGCAAAGTACTTTCCCACACCAAAGACACTAGAATGTAGGGGTGAAGGTTCTATGCAGGCAACAGCTCAACCTTTCCATGTTCAATGAGTTGTGTGGGTATTGTCTTCGGCAATGGGTGCTTACAGTCAGTTTGTGGAGAGCAACTTTTTGACTTGGTAACAGCCTGGATTGTTTGGAAATTTCCATGGGACCCCTTTGGCCAACAACTCAATTGGATATAACCCAGTCCCGGTACTGGACACTTCTTTTTGTGACAAGAGATGGTCAGTCAGTACTGTCTCGCCCATTATTTGGAGACTTAATTAGGATCACCTTCATATATTTTAGGAAGTCTCCACTGCACTGGTTTCCATACTATCCCTCAAATGCCCCTCAATTCGAACTATCTCTCCCCATACTCCGCCCCCCATCAGCCAGCTCTGCCCTCCCCTGCCTCCAGTCCACCCAGAAAATCTATTCTATTTCCCTCTTTGAGGGAAACCCATGTTTCCCTCTTAGTCCCTTCCTCTATACCTGAACATTTCTTTAAATGTTTCTCAGTCATTTGAGTTCCCTCTATTGAGAATTCTGTTTAGATCTGTGCCCCATTTTTGAATGGATTATTTGTTTTTGATACCTAGTTTCTTGAATTCTTTATATATTTTGGATATTAGTCCTCTATCAGATGTAGAGTTGGTAAAAATATTTTCCCATTCTGTAGCCTACCACTTTGACTGAATGATGATGTCCTTTGCCTTACAAAAGCTTTTCAGTTTCATGAAGTCCCATTTATTAATTGTAGATCTTAGTGCCTCCACTAACAGTATTCTCTTCCAAAAGTCTTCTCCTGTGCCAATGTGTTCAAGACTATCCCCCACTTTCTCTTCTATTAGGCTCAGTGTGTCTGATTTTACATTGAGGTCTTTGATCCATTTGGACTTGAGTTCTGTACAGGGTAATAAGTATGGATCTATTTGCATTCTTCTATATGTAGTCATCCAATTTGACCAGCATAATTTGTTGAAGATGCTGTCCTTTTCCTAGTGTGTATTTCTGGCTTTTTCAAAAATCAGGTGTCCACAGGTATGTGGATTTATGCCTGGGTCTTCAGTTTATTTCATTGAGCAATGTGTCCATTTTTGTGCCAATACCATGCTGTTTTTGTTACTATAGCTCTGAAGTACAGTTTGAAATCAGAGACAGTAATACCGCCAGTAGTTCTTTTATTATTCTGAATTGTTTTAGCTCTCCTGAGGTTTTTGTGTTTTCATATGAAACTGAAAATTGTCTTTTAAAGATCTATGAAGAATTGTGTTGGAATTTTGATGAGGAATGCTTTGAAGTTATATATTGCTTTTGGTAGGATAGCCATTTTTACTATATTAATCCTATGGGTCCATGAGCATGGGAGATCTTTCCATCTTCTGATATCTTCTTCCATTTCTCTCTGCAATGTCTAAAGTTTTTATCATAGAGATTTTTCACTTTCTTGATAGGAGTTATCCTAAGATATTTTATATTATTTGAGGGTATTGTCAAGGGTGTCATTTTCCTGATATCTTTCTCAGTCCATTTGTAATTTGTATATAGGAAAGCTATGGATATTTGTGAGTTAATCTTGTATTCAGCTACTTTGTTGAATGTGTTTATTGGCTGTAGGAGTTACCATGTGGAATTTTTATGCTCACTTATGTGTACTATCATATCTGCAAATAGAGATACTTTAACTTATTCCTTTCTAGTTTGTATCCCCTTGATCTCCTTCAGTTGCTGCTCTAAGGCTTCAAGTTCTAAGTTGAATAGATATGGAGAGAGTGAATAACTGTTTCTTGTTCCTGATTTTAGTGGAATTGCATTTTGTTTCTCTCCATTTAATTTGATATTGGCTATCAGCTTTCTGTAAACTGCCTTTAGTATGTTTAGGTATGTCCTTGGAATCCTTAATCTCTCCAGTACTTTTATCATAAAGGATTGTTGGATTTTTGTCAAAGGCCTTTTCAGCATCTAATGAGGTGATTGTGTTTTTGTCTTTCAGTTTGTTTATATGATGGATTACATTGACAGGTTTTCATATGTTGAACCATCCCTTCATCTCTGGGATGAAGCTTACTTGATCATGGTGGATGTCCTTTTTGATGGGTTCTTGGATTTGCTTTGCAAATATTTTATTGAATATTTTTGCATTTATGTTCATAAGGGAAATTGGTCTGTAATTCTTTTTCTTTGGTTTTTATGTGGTTTGGGTATCAGGGTGAATATGACCTCACAAAATGAACTGGGCAATGGTCTATCTGTTTCTATTTTGTGGAATAATTTGAGGAGTATTGGCATTAACTCTTCTTTGTAAGTCTGGTAGAATTTTTTGTTCAAACTATCTGGCCCTGGGATTTTTTGTTGTTGTTGTTGTTTGGGAGACTTTTAAAGACTGTTTCTATTTCCTTAGGGGTTATAGGTATATTTAAATTGTTTATCTGATCTTGACTTAACTGTAATAAGTGGTACCTATCAAGATAATTATCCATTTCTTTTAGATTTTCAAATTTGGTGGAGTACAGGTTTCTAAAGTATGTCCTTATGATTCTCTGTATTTCCTTGATTTCTGCTGTCTCCCCCTTTTCATTTCTGATTTTGGATATTTGGATATTCTTTCTATGCCTTATAGCTAACTTGGATAATGGTTTGTCAATCTTATTGATTTTTCTCAAAGAAACAACTCTTTGTTTTATTGATTCTTTGTACTGTCTTCTTTGTTTCTATTTTATTGATTTCAGCTCTGAGTTTAATTATTTCTTGCCACTTTTGGGGGTGTGATTTCTTCTTTTTGTTCTAGAGCTTTCAGGTGTGCTGTTAAGTTGCTAGAATGAGGTCTCTCCAGTTTTTTGTTTGTTTGTTTTCATTTTTTTTATGTAGGACTTGCCTCTAAGAACCACCTTCATTGTGTCCTGTAAGTTTGGGTCTGTTGTGTATTTATTTTCATTCAATTCTAGAAATTCTTTAATTTCTTTCTTAATTTCTGTCTTGATCTATTTTTCATTCAGTAGTGAGTTGTTCAGTTTCCATGAGTTTGTAAGCTTTGCTTTCTTTTGTTTCTGTTGTTGTTGAAATCCAGCTTTAATCTGTGAAGCTCTGATAGGATGCAGGGAGTTATTTCAATTTTCTTGTATCTGTTGAGACTGGGTAAGTCATCAAGTTTAGAGAAAGTTCCATAGTCTACAGAGAAGAAGGTATTTTCTTTTGTGTTTGGATGAAATGTTGTGCAGATATCTGTTAGGTCCATTTATTTTATAATGTCTGTTAGCTCCAGCATTTCTCTGTTTAGTGTTTTGTCTAGATGACCTGTCTATTGATGAGAGTGGGGTATTGAAGTCTCGCACTATCAGTGTGTTAGGATCAAAATATGATTTAAGCTATTGCTGTGGAATAATCCTTTTGTACACTGTGAAGATTTGTCACTCAGATTGGTTTAATAAAAAACTGACTGGGCAGTAGATAGACAGGAAGTATAGGAGGAACAGCCGACACAGAAGACTCTGGGGAGAAGGAGGGCAGAGTGAGAGGAGTCACCAGACAGACAGAAAGTAAGCAAAAAATGCCAGAGAGATAAATGCCACGAGCCTCAAGGCAGCACATAGATTAATAGAAATTGGTTAATTTAGGTTATAAGAGCTAGTTAGTAATAAGCCTGAGCTATTATCCAAGCATTTATAATTAATATGAGCCTCACTGTGTTTATTTGGGAGCTGCTGGCAGGACAGACAGAAACTTTGGCCTACAAGCTATAGTCATGCTTCTTTTATGAGTTGGTTGTCCTTGTGTTTGGGCCATAGATGTTAAGAATTGGAATGTCCTCTTGGTGGATTTTTTCTTTGATGAGTATGTAGTATCCTTCCCTATCTCTTCTGATTAGTTTTGGTTTGAAATCTACTTTGTTAGATATTAAAATGGCTATGCCAGCTTGCCACTTAGTTCTATCTGTTTGGAACATCTTTTTCCAACCCTTTACCCTGAGATGATGTCTATCCTTGATGTTGAGGTGTGTTTTTTGGATACAACAGAAGGATGAATCCTGTTTTTGCATCTGTCTTTTTATTGGGAAATTAAGACCATTGATGTTGGTGTTGGGGACTTAGCTCAGTGGTAGAGCACTTGCCTAGCAAGTGCAAGGCCCTGGGTTAGGTCCTCAGCTCCAGAAAAACAAAAACAAAAACAACAACAAAAGACAAAAAAAAAGACCATTGATGTTGAGAGATATTAATGACCAATGATTATTGATTCCTGTTATTTTGTTGATGTTGACGGTGGTGGTGGTAGTGGGGTGTGTGTGTGTGTGTGTGTGTGTGTGTGTGTGTGTGTGTTTCCCTTCTGTTGATTTTTCTTGTATGAGATTATTTTCTGTGTTTTCATGGTTGTAGTTAACCTCTTTCAGTTGGAGTTTTCCTTCTAGTACTTTCTATAGGGCTAGATTTATAGATAAGTATTGCTTAAATTTGGTTTTATTTTGGAATGTCTTATTTTCCTAAATCTTTGGTGATTGAAAGTTTTCCTCTGTTCCTATTATTTTTAGATTTAGTCTTTTCATAGTGTCCCAGATTTCCTGGATGTTTTATGTTAGGAGTTTTTAGACTTAATATTTTCTTTGGTCAATGTATCCATTTCTTCTTTTGTATCTTCAATGCCTGAGATTCTCTTCCATTTCTTATATTCTGTTGGTGTAGCTTGCATCTGTTTGAATTCCTAAATTTTTCATTTCCAGAATTCCCTCAGTTTGGGTTTTCTTTATTGATTCTATTTCTGTTTTCAGGTCTTGAGCAGTTTCATTCATTTCCCTCCACTGTTTGTATGTGTTTTTTTTTGATTTCTTTTTTCTTTCATTCTTTCTTTCTTTCTTTCTTTCTTCCTTTCTTCCTTCTTTCTTTCTTTCTTTCTTTCTTTCTTTCTTTCTTTCTTTCTTTCTTTCTTTCTTTCTTTTTTTTTAGTTTTTCAAGACAGGGTTTCTCTGTGTAGCTTTGCGTCTTTCCTGGATCTTGCTCTGTAGACCAGGCTGGCCTTGAACTCACAGAGATCCGCCTGCCTCTGCCTCCGGAGTGCTGGGATTAAAGGCGTGTGCCACCACCGCCCGGCATTTGTCTGGATTTCTTAAAGGAATTTATTCATTTCCTCTTTAAGGACCTCTATCATTTTTTTTACACAGGCTGTTTTAAGGTCTTTTTCCTATGCTTTGGCTGTGTTAGAATATTCAGGGCCTGCTGTGGTATAGGGTTGCTGGGCTCTAGTGGTAACATTTTGTCCTGGTTGTTATTGTGTTTTTTTTTGTTTTTTTTTTTTTTTGGTTTTTCAAGACAGGGTTTCTCTGTGTAGTTTTGCGCCTGTCCTGGAACTCACTTGGTAGCCCAAGCTGGCCTCGAACTCACAGAGATCCGCCTGGCTCTGCCTCCCAAGTGCTGGGATTAAAGGTGTGCGCCACCACCGCCCGGCTGTTATTGTGTTTTTACATTGGCATCTAGGCATCTGTTTCTCTGTCCTGCTTAGCTGGTGTGTTCCCAGGGAATGTCTGCTGGTGTCAGAGGCTTGGATAAAGGCATGTGTTGGAGGAAGGAATGTTGGAGGAGATGATCACTCTGATCAATTGGGGATGGGGTCTGTGAGGAAAGAGAGGCTACAGCAGGTGTTCTGCTAGGGGGATTGTATCTGGAGAAGCAGAAAGGGGGGTGAAGGTCTGCAGTCAGTCTCTTCCTCCCCTGTCAGGAGTGGCTTGTGGGTTAGCAGGGCATACCTGCTGAGATTAGGGCTGTGATAAAGCAACAAGCTGGGGGAGGGATGTTAGGAGGGAAGATCTGTGGGATTCACAGAGAATGGGGGGCAGGGGGAGGGAAGGCTGCAGCAGCTGTTCTTTTGTTTGTTGCAGATGTGGGGTGAGACTGGAGGATTGTATCTGGAGGAACAGAGGAAGAGGAGCAGATCTGCAGTCAGCCTACCCACCTCTCTGGCAGGAGTCTCTGTAGGTGGATTTTTTTGGTCCTATCCTACTAGCTCCCAAAAAACCACACAAAGACTTCTTATTTATTAGTTATTAAAGCTCATCCAATAGCTTAGGCTTGCTCCTAACTAGTTCTTAAAACTTAAAAGCCCATATCTTTTAATCTATGTTCTTTTAAGTGGCATGGTTACCTTTACTCTGTACTCCCTATCCTGCTTCCTCTGGCTGACTGGCAACTCCTTGCATCTCTGCCCTTCATCTTCCCAGCATCCTCTCTGTCCCCAAAATCCTAGCTAGCTATTGGCTGTTCAGCTTTTTATGAAATCAATCCAAGTGACAAATCTTCACAGTGTATAAAAAGATTATTCCACAATATTTCTCCTTTTGTCTATAAAAAGGAAAGATCTTAACTCTAACATGATAAAACGATAAACAATAAGAGCAATTAGCAGGTAAAAATTACATTTACAATGTCCAGTCCATTTGTATTTGGCATATTTAGAGAAAATACTCAATTATTTATTTTATCTTGATGAGTACAGAGCTCTGTACCTACTTCACCTTCTATCTTAACTAAGGAAAACTGTAACTATGACTATCTAGTCTTCAACTCCATCAAAGACCCCAGAAGGATATAATATTGCCTTAGTAAACAGGAAGGGCAGAGCAAGCAACTTCCAAAACTGAAAAAAAAAAAAAAATGACAGAAATATCTGGCTGCCTGGACAGTTACTCAAGTTTCCTCTGCAATGTTGGGACATCCGTCTTTGGCCTACAGGCCTAGAATATCTGACAGACTTTTCTGTGAAGCAGGAATTTTTGAAGGACTGTTCTACCCTGTCTTAGCAAAGTTCAGCGTAACTTTTCTTTGTGTCTTGCTGGTCTGGTTTGGACAGCATACTATCAGCAGTTGAGACAAGGGCAGTTTCTTGCCCAAATGGCTAGTTTTTGCCATAAAGAAAGAAAACTCCATACAGAGGTTCTTTGATGCCCATCATCCTTCTTTGAAGTGAATCGATGCTGCCAGTAGCAGACATGTCTCACTGTCGTGAAAAGCCTTATGTTATTAAAACATTTTAAATGTCATATTCTGTAGATCTTTGAAGTGTTTGAAGATCACCTATCTATGTAAAATATATCTCTGTATGACCTTGAAAACATATCTAACATGGCTATAAGTTTGATAGACTATTAACCTGTATTTATTATCCTAAATAGCTTTCAAAGACTAAAACTTTACATAACCTTTTAAAATTAGCTGCATAGGTACAATACCTTAAACAAGAATAGAAACATATATAGTATAACAAAAATAACCTTAAATTTGTATCAATATACAAAAATCCATACCAATGTAAAATATCTGAGACTAGTGGTTGTTCAAAAGTAGACTCAACAATCTACCCTTTTATCTCATCATTTTTATACTATTATCCCCTTTTATCCTTCAGAAAGAGATCCTTGAATCTAACTCCTTTTTTAGCTTTTTTACTGACCATGACCAATAACAACTTGTAACCAACCCTCCTAAATGATGACAAATGTCTATAACCCATTAAATGACCAAAAGCCATTCATCCTACCTCTTGGGAATGTGGGTATTGTGTTCTCCAGACTGCTTGCTGTTTTCTGTGGGTTCTGGCATCTTTAGGGGTCCCTGAGAAAATTGGGATAATGGTTGAGTCCTGGGAGAGTTAGTTGTGTTATTTGTTGTCTAGTTTCTGTGCAATGAGGAAGTGCAAGACTTACCTAAAGTCCTGGCTGGAGTAGTCTGTGAGGCTGGACCATCTCAACCATTGGTCTTGAAGCTGTTCTGGATGCAGAACTCTGAGGAAACTGCAACAGAGGCACTCTGAGCTGCTGGATCACCTAGGCTACCCATTTTCATTGGTGTTTGGTCTCCTTGCTCTGAAAACACATACACTTTCAAAGGTAACATACATATCTACATCAACACAAGTATGGAATGGGCAATGTGCACAAGTCAGTTAAAGATGATTTTTTATTTTACATTTGAGCAGGTAAAAGCCATTTGTCAACTTTATAAGTCTGTTTGGACTCTATAATCAAATTGTAATATAAATCTCAATCCATGCCATATTAAAGGATGGCATGTAATAAGAAATCATGAGGACTCTGTAGCCAACAAAATTTATCATGTGTCATCCAGTCTCAGAGCTATTTCTGTGTCAAAGGATCAGCTTACATATCACCTGTCCTGTAGTCTTTTTTGGCTTCCTCCCCCATGTCTATAACCAAGATACTCAGGAGGTCTCCCCTGGCCAAATCTTATCTCTATTAATCTGGAAGGAATCCACAGCCTTTCATTTCCTGTGAAAACAAAAGCATAATCTTTCCCCCAACACAACATATTGTCCAACTTCGATTTTGAAGTTAAGACATTTTAAAAATATATAGGTTGGCTTAATTTAGCAGATTCTACAATCTAATGTTTCTCAGCAGCTATTGTTTTTTGTATATTCACATTTAAAAAATTCAAAGTTAACAAGACAACATATAGGATCCAGACTCCCTATGTATTTTCCATCCGTACATGGCTTATTTTTTTTTAATTACTTTATTCTTTCTTTACTTTATTATTTTTAAACTATTTATTTTTTCTATGACTCTCTATACCCATGTTTTTTCCTTAAGGCCACACACATTGTCAAACACACTGTTACCCATTTAGCAGGTTGTTTTTGTTATTGTTTGTTTGTTTATTTTCATCTGAACCTGTTTTACTGTGTGTCTGTAACCTTTTCTGTCTGCATGAGCAAAACCTTAAACCCACCATGTGGCTTAGTTCATGGCATATTGGCCACTCAAGCACACAGGCAGCTGCTGGGAGATGTGTCTCTGAACCACGGCTACATGAGAGACACAAGAGTAGGAAGCAGTGTTTGGCTCTGTCTTTGTGTGTTTAGAATCTTTTTTAAAGCTTTCTCAGGTCTTATGTAGATATATGTGGCCAGATGTTGGGCGCCATTTATAGGTGTTTTTTTTTTCCATCCCACCAGCTAGCACCTAAATAACCACATGGAGACTTCTTATTAATTATGAAAGCTCGGCCAATGGCTTAAACTTGCTCCTAACTAGTTCTTATACCTTAAATTAACTCATAACTTTTAATCTACGTTCTTTTAAGTGGCCTGGTTACCTTTACTCTGTACTCCCCATCCTGCTTCCTCTCCATCTGACTGGCGACTCCTGCATCTCTGCCCTTCTTCCCAGCATCATCTCTGCCCCGAAAGTCCTGCCTAGCTATTGGATATTTAGCTTTCTTTTTTTTTTTTTTAAAGATTTATTTATTTATTATGTATACAGTATTCTGCCTACACACCAGAAGAGGGCACCAGATCAAATTACAGATGGTTGTGAGCCACCATGTGGTTGCTGGGAATTGAACTCAGGACCTCGGGAAGAGCTGCCAGTGCTCTTAACCTCTGAGCCATCTCTCCAGCCCCTTAGCTTTCTTTAAACCAATCTTAGTGACAAGTTTTCACAATGTACAAAAAGATATTCCCCAACAAGTCTCAATACTAAATTTTCAGTGGATCTTTAAAAACTTAGTTGCCTAAGAAAACTTCATTTCTTGGTGTTATTTCTAGTGTGTTCACTTGGGGTAACTGAAAAGAGTGCCAATAAGTCACATAATGACACACCTACACACACGGCCATGCCATCTTCATGTTCAGTCAGAGACAATACTTTCCAACTCATTGTGTTTGAAGGTGAGTCTTAAACTTGAGGCTGTATTTTTTGTAAATGTACTTTGTAGAGAAGCACAAATAGATAATTAGCCCCTGGAAATGTCTTGTGTGTTCATTAAGTAAGAAAACTCTGAGGTTGTAAAACCACACTCTCACACACACAAAAATCAAGTATTTTTCAGTCTCCACAGGGAAAAAATAAACATTTCTTAAATATTAATTTTTTAATTTGTAATCTGTGTGGTCTTTGTGTCTTTAATCGTACCATTTGCATGCATTACCCAAGCAGTCCAGAAGAGGGCTTTGGATCTCCCATCTCCCGGAACTGGAGTTAGTGAAGGCTGTAAGCTGCCCCTATGGGTGCTAGGAATAGAACTCAGGTTGTCTGCAAGAGCAGAAATTGCTCTTAACCACCAAACCGTTTCTCCAGCACTAATTCTATGTTTTTCACCTATGTGAATATGGTGTGTGTGTGTGTGTGTGTGTGTGTGTGTGTGTGTGTGTGTGTGTGTGAATGTAGTGTGTATGTATGTGAATGTGGGGTGTGTGTGTGTGTGTGTGTGTGTGTGTGTGTGTGTGAATTCGTGTCTCGTGTGGTTGTGGTCCCTGGGAGGCCAGAAATGGGTGCTGGATTCCCTTGAGTGAGCTGGAGTTACAGGCAGTTATGAGATTCCATGTGGGTATTAGAAACTAAATTTGAATCCTCTTAGGACAGTTCTTCTCAACCTGTGGGTCGTGACTCACAGGGTTTGCCTAAGACAATCAGAAAACACAGATATTTATATTATGATTCATAACAGCAGCAAAACTACAGTTATTGAGGAGCAATAAAATAATCTTATGGTTGGGGGTCACCACAAATTGAGGAACTGTGTTAAAGGGTCACAGCATTAGGAAGGTTGAGAACTGCTGTCTTAGGAGCGGTGTGTGCTTACAAGGGCTGAAGCTAGCGCTCCAGCAAAGTTTTGATGTTACTGTTTCTTTTTCTTTTCTTTTTCTTTTCTTTTTTTTTTTTTTTTTTTTTTTTTGCATGTATAGAAACTCCTGACTGAAGACAGGGGAGAGCTGGTGGACTGACCAACCCTTCATGAACCCAGGCCCAAAACCAGGGTTATGTGTTGGCCCACCCCAACATCCAACCTATCTGTGTGTGTGTGTGTGTGTGTGTGTGTGTGTGTGTGTGTGTGTGTGTAGGGGTCAGTCCTGTGGAATCAGGGCTGCAGGATCTCCACAACACAGGGCAGCAAGGAGATGTCCAGGAAGAGTCCCAGTGAGGGCCCAGTGTCGATAGTGCAGCAGAGACCAGGGGCCTCAAATCAGACCAATGATTCTTTTTGATAAATGCCTGCATGTAAAATATACAGATAAAGGTGTTTACTGCGTGACTTACTGGGTCACACAGCAACTTCCATGACCATATTTTCTCCTTCTTCTTTTTTTCTTTTTCTTTTCTTTTTTTCTCTTTTTCTCTTAAATTTTATTTTGTTTTATTTTGGGGTGGAGAGGGAGATGGGTGGGATCTGGAGGCATGATGTGAAAGACACAAAGAATAAATAAAAAAGCAAATTGAAAACAAGAAACTCCTGACTAGTAAAGTCAGCTCCTTACTGCCTAAGCCAAACTCGTGCGTGTCCTTGGTCATGACCTTTCAATATGTGTTTGATGGCAACTCACATTAAGACACGAGTGTGGGGCAGGTGACATGGCTCTGTGGGTAAAGAGCTTGCTATGCAAACTGACAACCTAGGACACGCGCACGCGCACACACACACACACACACACACACACACACACACACACACCACATAAATGCAAAAGAAAAGAACTAATGCCACAATGTGATGACATGACCTCCACATATGCACTGTGGCACACACATGCCTGCAGTAACACACACACAGCATGCACACATACACATATATACAATAATACATTTTTTTAATTTAAAAATGTACTTCAAGGGGAGAAGTCAATATGAAAAAACTGCAATGCTATACATGAATGAAAAGGTCATAATGAAAGTCATTATGTATGCCAACTCAAAACATTTGAATAAATTTCAGGGTTGAGGCTGTAATGCAGTGATAGAATGCTTGAGTACAAAGACCTGAGTTCACTTCTCAGCACCAAAATAAATAAATGCATATCACACTGTGGAGAGCTGGGGAGATAGCTCAATGACAAGGAGCTTCTGCACTGCAAAGCATGAAGGTCCACCTTCAGTTCCTCAGCTCCACATCACAGCCACACAGCTGCACAGCCGCATAAACCTGTAACACCAGCATGTGGGGGGAAGACAGGCGGATCCTGAGAACTTGCTGCCAGACAGCCAGCCGACCCTGAGCTTCCGGTTCAAGAAACCCTGTCTCAAGGCAATGAGGTAAAGAGTCATAAAGGAAGACACCCAATGTCCTGCTCTGGTATGTATCACATGGGCATGTACACACACACACACACACACACACACACACACACATACAAAACCACAACACACACATCACACACCAAAGGGAGATATAAAGACACATAAAACAAATTTTATTTCAAAGAAAAAAATTATAGAAAAGTGATTATTTTTAATCAAGTAGGGGAGTTGGAATATATGGATTTACTATCACATAACCTTACAAGCTTACTGTTTTTGTAAGTGGTAATACTAAATTAAATTATGTTGTAATTGTGTTTAAAGAAAAAGCCTATAGCTTTTAAAAGACATAATTCAAATTCTATAACTTGAAGTGAAAACTAAATTTCAAAGGCAGAGGTGCATATGAGCCACATGCAGTACTCCACATGAGTGGAGAAGCAATCCCCAAACTGAAGGACACAGAAGCAGCATGCTGGGGCAAAATAAAGGAATATCTTGAACTTGCTTTATGATATTTCAACGAACAACTGCTGTTTCGGTGAAAAGCCAGAGCCAAGGCAGTCAGTCAGGACCTTACTACTGTGTCTGGGGGTGGGCAGGCAAGGATTCAAGACTCAGGCTGGAAACCTGCACAAGAAATGCCTCAGATCACCAGGGCTCCAGTCTTGTTTTTATTTTGATATATTTACATATAAATAGTGTACCCATTATGCACCCATATCTAAATAAGAAAATGTAGCTCTGCCTCTCATATCCCTGCTAAGTGTGCAGGTATGTCTATGTAACCATGTCCCATCCTGTAAGAGTAGGTATAGAACTGTCCACAGTGACATCCTGTAAGCACCCAGAGTGGCTTCAGATTTGGTAGCACTTTGACTTCCAAATCGCAGATGTTAGGTGTGCTGTTTTCTCTACTGTTCTGTGTGTTTGGGTTTTTTTCACAATAAAAACATTAAGAGCTGGGGAACACCGCTCAGTAAGTAGCATGCTTGCCTATTTTGCATGCTGTTCAATCTGCAGAACAGCATAAACCTACCTACATGGTGGCACGTGCGTGTAATCCCGGCACTGAGGGGGTGGGGGTGGGAAGACCAGAAGTTCAAAGTGCTTGGTTAGGTTCCACAGCAAGGAGGAAACCACCCTAGGATAGAGGAGACTCTTCCACACATATGAAACCAAAGTTCAAAATTCAGTTCAATTTTTTTTAAACTAAATAATAGAAGGGAGTGATCTAATGAGGATGGCCAAAGGTGAGCGGGTGGTCACTACGCTTATAACGAATGGAGCAAGCCGCTGGCTTCCATCTCTTCTCTGTACATATGGAATCCTGCTCATAAGACTGCCGCTGGTCACTTGAATGCAACTTCAAAATGGAAAGCATGAGTCGCCTGTGCTTCCGACTTCCAAAAATGCAATGCTTCTTGACATTTCCTTGGTTGCCTCTTGAAGTTCAATGTGAATAGCTGCTGCTGCTTTGGGAGTGCCTGCTAATGTCTGTCACAGTGCAAGGATGTATGTCTCTCTGGTGACATCTAAATGTTGATTGTGTAAATTCTGCAGCAACACATAATGTATTTCAAAGGCATGCCAAGTAGCATCAAAAACATTTTCCCCCAAATCTGAGTTTAATCTAAATGTCAAATCAAACTTAAAGGAAAACAAATTACAAAGTTTATATAGATGACTTTGACTAATTAATTTTCTCCACTGATAATGTTTTGAACTTTAGACACAAAGATTGTTAAGCAGTTAATTTCTGTTGTTACTTGTTGTAGTGGGTAGCCATTTCAGCTTTGATCTGGAAGTTCCAACCCCCACTGAGGCTTTGGTAACTGTCACGCCTAGGTGGGGCCAAGAGAGGGCCCTGAAGACCCGAGATCCGGATGCACCGGCTCTCTTGGTTCCTGGACCCTGGACGCCGGAGGTAGACCGAACAGAGTTCTCCAGAGAACACCACCAGGCTGCGCCACGCCTTTCCCAGACCCTGAAACCTACCTATCCCTTCATTTGTAAGTTACACCACTAAATAAACCTCCCTTTTAACTACGTGGAGTGGCCTTAATAATTTCACCAATAACTTGTAGTGGCTAATTTACAAAGCAAATTGGCTGCATACATGAAAAAAATTAAGACAATTTCTATTTTTGTACTAATTGGAAATTTCTAACATTAAATAAAACTATGTTTTTTTATTATGCCAGAATAGATAAATTTTGAATGTTGCCATCTGAAACTATATATCACTCTGTCTTTCTTTTGCTACCCTATGAGAAGATATCCATCAACTTTGACATGCCCTTGTGATGTTACAACTTAAGGTCCTTGTGTTCCTTCCCCGGATCTTGTGTAGCAGACACCTTTGGCTGTATCCTGTCATTTATATCACTTCACCATACTCTTTTCTTCAGTGCAGCTTGATTTCCATCAGGTATCATCTTTTAAAAACTACTGTGCCTTCAAGGGAGTGGTGCCACCCTTCTAGTAACCAGATATACTGTTGACCTAAAGCAATCATGCTAATTTCCTTCTCATCATTGATTGGCTTTGGAATGAACATGGGACACAACTCTGATCCTAAGGCAGGAGTGAAATTAGTCAGTCAAGATCACTCCTGGGAAAAGGTCTCCAGCCCCAAAAAGGTGGAAACTTTTTGCTCATCTGGACATGGTTGACACTGTAGATGAGGCTGGGCCTGAGGCACTTTCTTTAGCCTGAAAGGAAGCTATAGACCAAGGAGCATCAGACTTGAGGCCCTCTCCTACATCCCTACCCCCCATCTCCTGCTCATGATTTCTTAAAATGCCAAATACTCAATTGTTGTTTGGTTTTGTTTTTTTTTTGGGGGGGGGGACCCGCCACCCAGTTCCCAAATAAATCACACATGAAGACTTATTTCTAATTATAAATGTCTGGCCTTAGCTTGGCTTGTTGCTAGCCAGTTTTACTTAACTTATCCCGTCTATTTTTGACCTCTGGGGCTGTGTAGCTGGGTGGCTGGGTAGCTGGCCCCTGAAGTCCTCTTCCTTCTCTGGCTACTTCTTCATCTTTCTTCCAGATTTCTCCTTCTATATATTATCTCTGCCTGCCAGGCCTGCCTATCCTTTCTCCTGCCTTGCCACTGACCG